TTCATTCATGCATCATTATTTCCCAAATTTTTTATGTGGGATGATAACCTAAAAGTCATTTCTATGTGCTGTTAGCTATGTTGTTGTGCGCATTATTGTGTTACTTATTGCGCATTTTGATTTTCTGGATGTTGTGCAGTATGCAAACTGTGCAAGGTTTCCTTTCAGCCATTATCATAAAAAGTGAAATTTAAATTTATTAACTGATGTTGTTATTACTGTACCTGTAAGATGATCAATATACAAATCACGGATTGGCGAGTCTAGTGGTATATATACAGCTGCTACGATCAAGTACGGGACAGCTTGTGGAAATTTCTAATGAGACAACATAATCCATAAGACTTCCAAGTCAGCTGGAACGACGATGTCTTTCATAACTTCGGCCTTAATGTTATCCTTAACATAGATTATATTAAGTTTGTGCTGTCTACACCTTTTGAATGAGTTAAAAGAGTTAACATTAAAAACAATTCAGGTGCCGTTTGTGGGGTTATCCACGATTCCGTTAACAGCTATGTCAATATTGTAATTATTAAGAAGCAGATCCAGTTCATCAAATTTGTTCAGAATTGAACATGCGTTAGTGGCAACAACTTTAGGAAGAAAAGCTGGATTTTTACTTCAACATGTGTTGATTGCCTGTTACTAGTAAAATTGTGCCTCGCTGTCTTTCGTGTTGTAATCCTAACAGGTATTGACCTTCGTTTATTTTTGCCTGCACGACATCCTCTAGGTTTGGTACGAGTGATATTTAATTCATTAGCAAAGAAAAACTCTTTACCTTGTTTTGGATAACTAATCCTTTTATTCACAAACGGTATCTGTCTCGAAAAGCACATTATTTCACTGATCACTTTAGCACGGGAAAATATTCTCACACAGCACACGAATTCCGTATGCAAATGAGTTGGTTTCCTGAGCCAAGGTGACGAAATTCATGCATTGTTGGCGGAGCTCAGCCTCTCGGTGATGGCGAAATGTACGAGTTAGCCAAAATTTGTGTACCAGTTGGCATGTGTATTTTCGTTTTAATATCATGCTGCTGCATGCTAGTGGGCAGCTATTTCATAGGCTACAGTACCTCCCTCTCTATCCTCTAGGCTAGAATTATTAAGAAATTAAATGAAATTAAACATAAATTAAAGTTGACAAAGAGAAAATAAAGATTAAGTTTATGAATGATTTTACCTTTGTTTTTAAAATTTTTCTTTCAAAGACCTACAGTATTCGATTTAAAAAAATTTTTGAATGCTGTTATTTCCGTTTTAACTTTTATTAATTCATGCAATTCAGCCATGTGCTGCAATAGGCCTAGCCTATGCATTTTACTAGAAGATTAAATACTTCATTGTACAAAAAATTGTACTGTAAGTCATTGTCAATGCTATCCCGGTATTAAAAGTTTATAAATTTACAAAAATCAAAAATTGGGGAAAAAAAATTAGACCCCCTAAAAAATAAGACCGGCAAAAATAACCATCCATACCCCCCTCACCAAATGCATTTCCACCCCATTACCTACCCTCCCACCACCTTCCCATCTCTCCCCACAACCCACTCACACATGCCCTGATGATTCTACTTTCTGATGATTAAAGCCTGTCACACTGGTCAAGCAACCCATCAACAGAAGAATAAATTGACTATCAAAAAGTGGAAATTTATTAAAATGTGCACAAGCTACCCCTGCCTTAGTTTGCAAACTGTGCTGAATCTTCAAATTGTGCAAAGAAATCCTTGCAGAGTCTGCAAATTGTGCAAGAAAGAGCTTGTACAATTTGAAAAATGTGCAAAAGTCTACTGTACATTGTTACTAAACAACTCATACTTGTTGGATTACTGATAAATTATTGAGAAAGCTAAGAAAAAGTGGCCCGAAAATCTTCATCTTGTCTTGTTTGTTTACAATTTCACAGCTGTTATCCTGTACAGGTACATGTAATTTAAGGCAAGACTTTTTATACCAGTGAACCCGCAGACTGCAATTGATTTCGAATAAAAATACAATTTTATTTTTGGCCAATTAGCACACCCACCACACATTTCAGAAAAAATTTTTTTCTTACTTTTTTAGTACGCCCTCCCTGCCTTCAGATCTCCAAAGATAAGACGTGTATTTCTTTCTAATTATATAAATTTGAAGCATTTAACCATCCTATTTTACATTTACCAATAAAATTTTATTTTTATTTTCCCCTCCGTCTGGATAATTTTGGCAAAACTGCTCAATACTGTAAGAAAACAAAATTTTATTTATTTTTTATTCTGCCCTCCTCTGATAATCTTTAAAAAATGGGGCCCTTCAGGAAACAAACCTGCGGGTTTGAAGGGTTACAATGTATCCTTTGCTCTTCTTTCCCCTTGTCTTTTCTTTCTTCTTGGTTTCCTTTTGATGTATGTCCTCTTGTTCTTGTAAACCTTGTTCACTGTTTTATTTTTTTTTCCATTTTCCCTTCTTTGTCTTTTCTTTTGGTTACTTTACTACTGTAAAAAAAAAAAGGAAGAAAAAGAAAAAAAAAAGTTATTGCCCAAAATGTCTTAGAGGCTATTTTCGGGCATGCCACTGGACCCCCTAGGGTGGTGTTATCTCGATCGGCCTACTTTCATCCACCTTTTGGTCTGCCCTTTTGGACATCTTTGGATCCGCCCCTGTACAGATATTCGAAGTTGGACCTGATTGTCAATCCCTAATATTGTGGTCTAAAAGCATTAATTTAGGGCCAACAACAATAGCAGTTCCTTACGGTACTTTCCTTGTCAATGGTAGCTGTCCTCATGTTGAAGACCTTTGCCATCATTGACCTCAGATGACATATTAAACAGTATAATAATAATACTGAAAATGTTACCTTTCAGAGTCTTCGTTTTCCTCACTCAAAAAAACGAAAACTTGGAAAAATGAAGACTTTGAAAGGTAAAATTTTCACTATCATGCAAATAACGGAGTCAGATAGTAGTATGCTGTTAGTATAATTATAATTAATAATAATAAAACTGTATTAGCTCCTGACAGATCAAAGATCCCTCTAAAACTAAGTGCTTGATATACAGCCTGGCACTCACTGCGTTGTACGGCAATCATATGACCATCGCACAACGAATACAAATCTGCTAACTGTGAGCACTAGACAACACAACTCTGTCTGCTGGTTGTCGGTGGCAATCTAATTGGATCGTCATTAAAAACGATCTGTTGCGTTCTTCATATAACTGACAATTGTTGGGAGCAGTGAGTGTCCAGCTTAAGTCTTAAAACTATCCCCCCGTCGGACACCAACCCGGTATTTCTGAGTCAAGGCTTAAAACTATCCCCCCGTCGGGCACCAACCCGGTATTTCTGAGTCAAGGTTTCCGGGTCGGGATTACAAAATAGGACAATTAAAAATCACTTTCAAATAATTGTGGTAAAAAACTGGACACCATCCCAGTATTTCTGAGTCTAGATTTCGGGGCTGGAATTTTAACAACAGTATTTTTAAATTTGTAAGTCCTACACTTAACTAGCATTAAACTACAGTATCCCCCGCTGAACACCATCCCAGAATTTCTATGTCAAGGTTTCAGGGCAGAAATTACAGACTTTTAGCACTGGTTTATGCTGTGTCAATTTCTTGTCAGATTGATGATCTTTGCTGTGGTATGTTGAACTTGCTGCAGTTTGGCAATCTCGCAGTATGGTAAGCCATATGAAAGACTGTTACAGTCGAGGCGCGAGCGAACAAATGCGTGGATGAGCTTTTCAAATGCGTGGATGAGCTTTTCAGTAGATGCTCTGTCAAGGTACTTGCGAACTTGACCTATTTTTCTGAGAGCAAGGTTAGCAGCCTTACAGATTCTATTAAAGTGAGATGACATATTGAGCTCGTCATCAATTGTAATGTCAAGATTGTGTGCTGATGAAACGGTATGAACAGAATCTGAGCCAAATTGAATGTGATTAATTTTCTTAGTGCGACGCATGGACCTAGAATACAGTATACTGAGAGAAACCATCATTATTTTTAAGTGAAATTTTATATACTGCAGTACTATTATTATAGCTAGAGAATCTAGAACTTGTAACGCCAGATTGGAACCCTGACCAGTGCGATCCCTCCAGGTCAAATGGATCCCAAACTTCATCGATGGATAGGGCCGTTCATCTCCCTGATCAGAGAACACTGTCCCTAATGATTACACATGCTAATCTCAAATTCACATCAAATATTTCCTAATGAACTCTACTCTTTCAAGTTGTGTTGATGGCTCTCTGAAGAATGGAATTAGTTGGTCTTCCTATGGCTTTAGTTTTGACACTAAGGTAAGAGTCTTATTACAAGGATCATTATTATCTTCATGGGTACAATGTGCAATCCAGTTTTACTGCTGTTGGTAGAATTCCATTATAGAGTTGTATCATGTATGTGTGTAGAGTTTCATTTTACTGATGACGTCAGTAATTCCTATCCTTCATTAGTTCATCTTCTTATCACTTTCACTTTCATTTGAGTTCATTTGCTGATCTGGTGTTTGTGTGTTTACACATTTGAAGCCATTTATTACCATGACCATGACTGTTTAGGGAACTATGCATTGGCATACAGTATCTGTTTTTTGACATGGTAAGATTGGACAATGGGCATATTTATTTTTGAATTAGGGATGAAGGAACTTTAGAATTTTATTAATACTTTGGTTTTGAATGTTCTTAATTTAAAAGCAAGTATTTAAAGCACTTTCATGTGTGTATTTTCAATAAGGAAAATTTATAAATGTCAGTGGTTACGTAATATGCATGGGTACTCACAACAAAATGGATAAAAAAAGTCTGTTCTAAAATCCCTAATTTTATAAGAGGTTATGATCAACAGTAGTAGGAGTATATAGAGTCTTGTGTGTTTTTGTTTTTGTTTTAAATGAAAATAACAGACATACAGTACAGAGAGTCATGCCGAGACATTTGATATCAAAGTTTCTACTAAATTGAAGTTAATGATTTCAATTATTATTTTTTTCAGTTTGTCAAAAGTTTGGAGTTTTGGAAGATGGTGTTCTTGCTCACACACTACAGGAAGAAGAATGTAAGTGAAGTATAAGAAATATGTTATGAGTTATAAAATTTGACACTTATGACACAGTATTTCTTGTTACGGACTGGAAATCTTTGAGAATATAACTAGTTGTATCTCTTTAACTATATAAAATATTAGATTTAAGTGTATTTAATGTTAACACATACCTAAGGTTGAATAATGGAAGGAAGAAAAAATTATAATTTGCTTTTTTTTATTTATGATAAAAATTGTATGCTCCACATTTGTGACCCAAGCTCACTGTATTGAGAAACAAGCCAAGCTACGCCAGTCTTACGCCGTTGTGTGAACATACCCGTATTCAGCTAAACTAGGTGTGTGTGTTTTTGTTTCCATGAGGTTATCAGACAGAGTGGTGAAATGCATGGTCATATTATTAAATGCATGAATGATTACCAATAATGTACCAGGCATTGTTGACACTGTATAGGTGTGTTTTCACTGAAAATCAGGATAGAAATGGTTCTATCAGTGGTTGATTATAATAATAAGCTTTATTTCAACACGGAAACTTGGTTCAACTAGCAGTTGTTTTTCTGCAAGGCCGTGTATAAGGCACAAATTTTACAGTATACAAAAATAATAACTTCAACACTTTGTAAAATTAAAATTAAATATAGTACACAAACTTAACTACTGTTTTTGATATTCACTTATGCTTATCACTAATAACTAATTGAATAACTAATACTACTAACTACTGAATTTGATAAAATAGAAAGTTTACACTAGCAGAGAAAATACAATAATAGTTTCATTAAAAAAAAAAAAAAATACAAATTCTTTACAAAATTGCCATAATATGTTTTTTAAATAAGGAAATGTTTTTGCAATTTTTTAGATCGTCATTTAGTTCATTCCAAATCTTTGCACCTCTATATGATAAGCTTTTTTTTTATAGTCAGTTTTTGGTTTTGGTAGTGTTAATATTGGTTTAGTTCTGGTATCATAGTAATTATTATCATAGTAATTATGATTATCGGATTAGCAAGATCCATCTTGTAACTGTTTACTGCCAATAGCTGTAATACCACAAGAAAATCACTAAAAAAAGGTGATCTTATTCCTAAGCCTAATGCTCCTTACAGTACCTACATTCTTTTCCAACGATTGTTTGTTCTGCTTTCTCTATCTCTTCTTTCAAATCTAACCTCCAGAGTTACCTTTCATCCAGTCTTGTGTACTGTAATTTTCCCTGTAGCCATTTCTTTTTGTTGCAGTACAGTATTTTGCTTTGTTTTTTTGTAAAGTAAAATATTTATTATAAATCTGTAAATCTAATTTTTATATAGTGGTATGAGAAAATGAAGTTAGATCACTTAAAAATTCAACTTTAAAATTCCTTGGGAAATAGTGGTGGTGCCAGCAGGGCCAGGTGGAATTCCCCCAACCATCAGACAGACCTTGATCCCTGACATGCGATGCCACAACAACGTTATTATTATTTATTCAGGCAAAAGATACAATATACAAAATATAATACAAATCAAAAAAAATAAAACGAACATAACATTGAGATGTACATTAAATAGACCATAGTCATTAACTGCCAGAAAGCACAAAGGAGCCTAAACCACTGTCACCGAATAGGTGTATACCTCCAATTAATGACTACCTGTACTTAGATAATACAAATAATATAAATGACATAGAAAAACGAAAGTGACTAAAGCATTACATTATAATATTAAGCCTAAGATATATCCATAGATGCAATTATAATTGAAATATTAAATTAGTTATACAAAGTTATTAACATAAAAAATATAAAAAATTAAAACATAGCTTGCACATTCAGCCTATTGAAAATATGGAACAAATTTGAAATTATTTCATTTTTACTGTAGTTAACTATCAGTAGCTTAGGCTTATTTATCATGATTTGATTCACCACGTAAATAAAGGGGTGGGGTGAATAGGTGGCTAGCCACCCTCCTTTGGTGACTGAAAAAAAAAATAGTCACTCGTCTTGTGTGTGTGCTTCTCATGTATACATGTTACGTACATGATTCCAATTACAATAACAATTGTAATAATAACATTCATTGATAATCATCAAACCAATCATTTGAACTTAATTAAACTAAGCTAAAACCAAATATTTGATAATAATTTTTTTTTGGTACATATCCATTTGTTTTTGATGAACAAAATTATAATTAGGCACTAAAATTTACTTGGTACTACTTTGATTAAGAATTCTAATGGATAGTGTTACGATTGAATTGAGAAATATATTTGTTAATTATACTTCCACAATTATTAAATTACTGTCCAATTGAATTTATTAAATTAAACTCTATATTGAAGTTAAAGGGGGGGGGGGTGCGGGGATGAAATGATTAATTTTTAATTTAAAATAGAGGGATGAGCGGCCACAATGACAGTGACGGCACTCGATTTTGGAGCGCGGTATTTGAAAACGAGGCTTGTAAACTGGGTCCCAAAAAAAAAAAACTGGTGCTACAGGATTTTGAGCTAGTGTTAAAAGATAGGGAATTTCCTAAAATGTACAGACTTTCAAAGGTTTGCATTTGGTAACCCCATAAAAAATCGTGTCAAACTTCAGATAATTCAATGTAAATTTGGCCGTTCTTTTCATTTATATGGGTTTTCACTTATGAAAATGTCTCAATTTTGTGTAAAATAACAGTTTGCCCCAGTTTTTATTTCGGAAATTTGCGCTAGACAGGGAGTCAGCTGATTCACTCAACCATAACGAGCTGGTAACAACACAGCCAACTGATGAGAATGGTCGTCGCGAGCGGAAAATTGAAAAATTAGGACTGGCGAAAATATTTAATAATAATAATATAATAAGTCGAAGGCATTTTTGAAGAATGAATCTTTCAAAAAGATATGTTTGCTGGTTTGGATAAGGAAGTCTTGGAAGTGGTGATCTTATAAGTGGCGTTAAATAGGTTTGTTACCGAACTTGTCTTACCTGTGTAGGCATAACCTAGCATTAAGTGCAGTAGGCCTACCGTATGTATGTAGAGAATACAGAATACTACTCTACTGCCTGGCGCGACCTAGGCCTAGGCCCCTAGTTTAGGCCTAGTCATACGAAAGATAATAATAATACTTCAAACATTAGACAAACAAACAACACTATTTTAAATAAAGTACATTAATTTACCTGTTTATTATTATATCCATGGAACTATCTAGGACCTACTACTACTACTACAGTAATACTAAAATGCCAGTTTATTCGTCGTGGAAAATAGTCTATTATACATACATTGTAATTGTCTTCATCTGTAATTTTTAAACTAATTTATATTTTTATATTAAAAAAAGTATTATATTAATGAAATAATTATTTCTATTCAAAATAATTGTTTAGGTTGTGGCTATGTTACACCACTTTGCAATGCATTTGAATATGGGCTTTTCACAGTGATGGTTAATTAAAATATATATATTTTCAACAAAATTTATCATTGATGATTAGTGCTATAATGATTAATTCCTTATAAAGATATTGTAATATCAATACTAATTATTTTTGAATGGTCTAATAATAGTCACTCTGATTTTTTTAAACTAGTCTGTTCAAACTTTTTATTGTACGTCTCTTCTTACAGGAAATGTTGACATGTTGGATATCGATGGCTTTCATTTGGTAGGCTAAAGAAATCTGACAGAAGGGTCATCCCATCTTGCACTGTGTGATCGATTAGGGACAAGTTCCCAGAAACTGTGAAGACTGCCCTGGGTTTTTTGATGCTATAGATGATGATGATGATGTGTTGAAAGAATTACTTATAAATTGTTATGGAAGATACCTGATAAGTCCATCCTCATTAATGCAACAAATCTTTGTAAAGGATTCATTCTTGAAAATTCATGCGACATCTGTGATCTGTTTTTTTGACAATCTCATCACTCATGAAAGGAAATTTTATCAGCATTGGCCTAGAGCTTTTGTATATCTGGACCAGTCAATTGTGTGTCACATTCCAGACCTAGTCTGTAATTGAAATTGTTGCTATTGATGCAGATAGGCCTGCAAAATTGATTTCAAGAACATTTTGTTGTTAAGTACAGTACAATGTTTTTTGTATCTTCCCCACTCTCGTCTCATATTTTATAATTTGAAGCTAATACAGTATGAATTAGAATTTTGTGTACAGTAAATAAATGTAACTTGTTCTTCCCTATTTTTTACATTGGTATAAACTAACTATAAATCCATATATTTAATATTTTGATAATAGAGTGTGTTAATTGCAGTGATATACATTGTAATACCTGACTGCTTCAATGTTGCTTTATTCTGTGTACAGTAAAACAATTTTATATTAACTGTGAGAAAATACACTTGTAATAAATTATTTGCCATGTACAAGGATGATAAATTGTGTTTCAAAATATTTATTTAGTAACACCAGTAGTCTTGAATTTACTGTATGTACAACAATAATCTATAACCAAGTTAAGCACCAAAAATATGGATGTTGAATATCATCATGAAAGAAGAAATCTTGGCTATGGTAAATAATACAAGACAATCAGACATGATAAATAAAGCAGTGCAGTTAAAATTGCCTAAGACGACGAATAATATACAGTACTCTAATAATTTCTAAGTCGATCGTTGAATTTTCCATTACCGTATGTGCAAGTCAAATTTTAAGGTCAAACAATTTCTCAATGGCATTTTGGATAGGCAAGTTCAACTATATATTTCAAAATGGTGTACAACAAAAAAATTGAAGCTTTCTCTTCAAATACCAAATTGATCAGCATGCAGACAGACATACGCATAATCCAGGCATTAAAAAATACAGTAAGCAGATTCATAGAATAACTTTACACAAGACTGTACAAAGCCATACATTAAAATAGTTGATCCTGTATATATATTGAGCGACATTTTAATACTGTATTATCAACTTCGCACATTACATATTTCAAAATTAATCCTCAGAATTTGTTTTATAATTCTGGGTCACATTTGCTTCAAAAGGATTACTATTGAA